CCTCCACAAGTTATACTGACATCAAATATAGAGAAAGCAGGGGTTATACTGTGGGGGAGGGACATACAAAGCAACAAAGAGATAATCTTGTAAATGCATTAGAAACACATGCATGGAAGAAAAAACATTAAAATACATATCTAAGAGTTCATTTTCCTGACATCACATTATCTGACCTTTTCCGCTTGACAAACAGAACTTCTAAAGTAGATTGTTAAGAGATGAAGTAAATAGTGATAGTTGGACTCTCAGTGTTGTTTTGATTTGCATTTGATTTATGGCCAGAGATATTGAACATGTGTCTTCATGTATCTATTGGCAATTTTTACTTCTTCTTCTGAGAAGTCTCTAATTAGCTTGTTGGCCCATTTATTTATTGATCCAGTGATTATACTCTTGGACATTTATCCAAAAGATTATAAATCAAAATACAGTAAGGCCACATACGCAACCACATTCATTGCTGCACTATTCACCATAGCCAGACAACAGCCCAGGTGCTCTTCAACAGAAAAATAGACTAAGAAAATGTAGTATACAGTCACAATGGAATTTTATCCATTAGGAAGAATGATATGCATGATTTGCAAAGAAATGGATGGACTTGGAAAAAATGTTGTATGAAGTAAATCAGACCCAGAGAGACAAAGAACACATGTTTTCTCTCATTTGGAAATTAGGTATAATTTATAAATACACAAGAAAACACATATAGACTGTATGCAAGTGTACACAAATGTATTAACCAAAGAATGGTTTGTTCCAGGGAAAATTCAAATGGCGTGACTTCTCAGAACAACTAACTCACATCACAGTCTAACAAAATGAATGCCAGTACTTGAAATTGTGTAGTGTGTGGGTTGACTGTAGGGAGTAGAAAAATGAAGAGAGGAAGGGGGGATAATATTCAATGTATATCCAATGAAACTAGGAAAATTGGGGATGGTAGGGTTGGGCAGGGTGAGGAAAAAGTATAAAAGGGATGATATGGATCAAGGTGTGTTGTACTCCTAAACTGACATGTTGAATGTTGACCCCTTTATACAACTGAATATAATAAAACATAATAATAACAAAACTAGAAGCCAAGGTGTGTCTTGAGTGGTAGAGTACCAGCCTTGAGCAAAATAATAAAAGAAGGGGAATACAAGGCCCTGAGTTCAAGCCCTACTATAAATACACACACACACACACACACACACACACACACACACACACACACACACACACAGAGCTGGGCCACATTAACCATGTATGCAGTGATTTTTGACACAATGTCTTTTTAGTCTGAAAGAGCAGATTTTTTTTCTAAAATCTTGGAAAAATTAAGAAAAGAAAAAAAATGACACTTAGCTAGCAATCCAAAATATTTATCTTTCTTTGGAAGCAATTCAAATTCTGAGCAGTTATATAGATTTCTGAATGGATGTATTTATAATATAAATGAATGAAAAAGTCCACCCAAACTAACTAAATCTGAGAATTTGGTAAGTTGAATAAATAAACCATCATCTTTTATGGTAGGAATTGGTGGTGTAGTAGCCATAGATTTTTAACCGTGTGGAGCAGCAGAAAATGTCTTTGGGAAGAGAGGGAGCTGTGGAATTGGGTCATGAGATCTTTTCTTTCTTTCTAAAAAATTCTTCCTGAGGGGTTCAGGTCTTTTTCTCTGTATTGTTTCTTCAGGTTTAAATTGAAGGTGGATTGGAAAAGGGAGCTGTTGAATAATGAATCTTTTCAAGTCAAATGAAAACAATTCCACCTTAAAATAGAAGAGCTCACCTTAAGCCAGATTTGGCTGCCTTCCAAAAAAGGGCATGAAAGCTGCACTTTAATCAAAAAGATGTGTATTCTTTATGCAGGCTGCAGAAAGAACAGCTGGGAAGTGAAATTTTATTGATTTTTTAAAAAAATTTTCCTCTCTCCCCCACCCTTTCCAACAAACACATTTAAAATTTACTCACAAGCTTTCCCCCTCCCTTCCGTTTCTTTTTTGGGAACCTGTTGGGATGAAATCCTTTCCAAAGTTCTCCGTAATTTGGAAGCTTCCTGTCTACCAGCTTTTACCTTGGCTGAAATCAAGCCCAGGCAACATTGGTTGCACAAGGATGCCCAGAGAAAAGGAAATAGCGAGATGGTCTGAGCAGAATGAGTCACTACTTTATTGGAGACTGGACATTCACCAGAATATTTGAAGGCTTCCCTCAGCTTCCCAGTTTCCACACAAAATCACAGGTCTTTCAGATCCATGTGAAAAGAGCATTTCAGAATGTTTCACAGAAGAGAAGAGTGTCGTAAAGTGAAGATTTTTAGTAAGGATTTATTTTAGTATGACAAGATTAAAGTGGAGAGAAAGAGAAACATTTCTGCTGAAATGAGAGGAAAAGACTCAAAGTGGGTTACCTGCTGCCTTTATTCTTTCTGACCTGGGGGAATATACTGGCTCAAGTCTAGCAAGTTTCACCCATTAGGCTGTGGTTCTCTACAGATAGGAAAGGTGTTACTTGCTATTCTAAAATATAGTGATGACTCTGGGCCTAATTTAAGGACAGTAGGTGAGTTTTAGGGCAGTCTTCTCATTTTACTGTCTGTATCCATTCACAAGCAGTTGCCTTGTTGTTATTATTTCAAAGGAGAAGGCACTTTTAAATAGCCCCATTTAGTCTCTTCATCCTTGTAATTTAGCATTTAAATTGAAGGAAGCTTCATTGCTTTGTTAGTTGATTCCCAGTTCCAAGTTCTGAGACTGACTCTTTTTATATTCATTAAAAATAAAATACCAGTCTCCTCATTTATCTCTCCTATCCCATTTCTATATATTCATACAATGTGCATTGGTCCTATCATCCATTCTTCCTTCATCCTTACCTTTCCCACTCTGGTCTCTAGAATTCACTCTCCTGTTTTCAGGATACATAAATGAGAGAAAAATATGTGATTTTGCCTCACTTATTTCACTTAAGATATATTCTACCAGTTGTATCCATTTTGCTGCAAATGACTAGTTTTCAATATGGCTGACTGTGTATATATACCACAATTTCCATATCATTTGTCTCTTGATAGGCCTGTAAGTGGAAACCATATTTTAGCTATTGTGACTAGTATAGCAATAGAGCTGGAAATACCTGTGTGGTTCATTTTAAGATTTTGGAATATCAGAGCTCTGTGAAGTCTCTCTTATCTTGCCTGTCTTGGTCATTTTTATAAACAAAAAGCATCAGTCAATATTGACTTTCATCCCTATTGTCAAGAGGTTTAAGAAGTAGTATTCAAATTGTTCAGCCTTCATTTCAGCTTTCAAAATATTCATAATAATATTGAAGAGAATGATGGGTAACTATTATCGATGAGCCCTAGGATATCCAACTTGAAATGGAAGGGGAGATTATAAGATTTCTTTTTTCTTTTTTTATTGTTAATTTTTTTTTAATTGTGAAAATACTGTACGGAGGGGTTACAATTACATGGGCAAGATAGTGAGTACATTTCTTATCAAGCATTGTAGCCTCCTT